CCCCACCACCACCCACCACCCCCGCCCTTGCGGTCAAAACGACGATGTAGCGTTATAGCTAGTGTGCTGACGACTCAAAAAACGAGCCCAATTCTGCTGACAATGCAGATAGAGTTCCACCGTTTTTAATTTCCTCAAACCAAATCACGTCCGACTCGACTTGTTAAGCTCATGGTCGCTCTTAAAGCAGAGGGATAATTACAAAACAATTTTCTTCTCCTCTAAGCAATCAAGAATTCATAATTTTCCCGTGGTTTGGAGCCCGGGGTGGGCGAGTGCTGGGCGGGGACATCGCTTTATGCAAGAATGTTAATGGCAGAGGAAAATTATTATCTGGCGATGGATCACAGAAAGTCTCTCTAGTGCCATTTTCGTTTCAACTTAACGTTGAACATTCGGGGCTTGAGGTCCCGCTCGGCCCAGCAGCGTCTCATCAATGAAATCATATCCCCGTCCGCCCGCGGGAAACTGAGCTAATACAACGCACATGTGCGCGGACATACGAGGTCGTAAACAACACTCCTAAGCCGTCGTAAAGTTTGCAGGGTTAGACGTTAATTTCTACGTAACACACGTGCTTCTCATAGGAAATTCAGCGTGAGTGAGTATCGGAGGAGCATGTGCCTTTTATTCTGGCTGGTTATCTTGTGACGTCCAAGATGCCCGGATGTTCATAGCGCCGCCATCAATGACGTTCAAAGCTGCCCGCCTCCTAATGATCTAAAATTGTGTAAAACTAGCTCGGTACCCATTCGATGAATGGACCCAAAAGAATCGATCGTCAAGTTATTGTGGAACCAGTATATGCACTGTTAATGAACGGAACTATCACTTGTTTACAACGACGTCTAAAAAGACGAACTTTCCCAAGATTAGATCTAAACGAAACTAATGAAAAACTGAAAATTAAACTACAGTGACTTCAGACTCCATATTATAACTGTGCACCCTTTAAATGATTCTGAGCCACCGTTACTTCTGTCAAATTTGACAGTTTAGAGGTTGGGAAGTTTTAGGCGGCCAAAGTAACGTATTTTTACATATGTACATGTAATATCTACAATTTTTTCGGGGTTTTTTTATGTTTCATATTTTTTGTCTCGCCTACGTGTTTGTATCAGCTAAATATGCGTATGACTAGATAAACAACCTATTTGCCTTGGTGATTATAAGTAGCTATAGATATAATGTTTTGATAGAATTCAAAGCTCATTATCTAAAGCCTTTGTTTGTCTTCAATATCTATTGTTTGCTGCAGATCACACACATAGCCATTAAAACTGTCGCAAATCAATTATTTTAAAGAATATTTCAAACCTAACTGCGAAACTAAAACTGTCGCAAATCAATTATTTTCAAGATAATTTCAACTCTAACTACGAAATATCAAATTATGGGTTTGAAACAAGGGGGCATGCCCCCCTCTAACCCCACAGATATTTTTTTTTTTACATGGTCAAGAGTCACAAAGCATTTTGATTGGTCTATCTCCGTCGGAGACGTCTCCGGATAGATACTGTGGTCAGGACCCCC